TTTATTCTGAATTTTATTGTTATTATAAAAATAATTAAGATTTTCATTGAAAAAAGTAGTTTGCCAAATTTGCGAGGTTTAACAAGAACTAAAGAAAAAGAGGATTTAGAAACAAAAACATCTCTTAGCGACTTTATTTTACTGTAGTTGCTGATATCCAGGGAATAACTTCAAATTTATTATGTGAAAATATGTCTTTGTTATGTGAAATACTTTATTATATGAAAATATGTCTGACAATGTGCTCTTGATGGGATTCAATGAAAGGTATAACATAAATGTGCATTTCCACCTTAGGTATCTACTGTTTGCAAATTTACTGGTTGCATTTTTCTTATATTAGGAATTTGTTTTAAATGAGTAACTGGTATGTTTTGTCTATCTTTTGGTCTTTTCTGTTACCTGTAGGGGCACTTCTAGTGATGAAATGTGTAACTTATACATTATGTACTACATGGAAGCCAAGCATGCGGTTTCATTCATGACCTGTACACAGAATGTAGCCCCTGACATGTTCAGAACCATACCAGCAGAGGCCAACATTCCAATTCCTGTGAAGTCTGAGATGATTATGATGCATGGCCATCACAAAGGTAAGATGTGTTTTACTTGAAGTAATAAACCATTTTGTATTTCATGTTTACTTGTGTGTTTTACTTGACTATGTAATTACTATTATAAGCAATCATATGTGAATACATATTATCATTACTTCTTTTGTTTTGTTTTGTTTTTTCCCACATCCTATCTTCTCTTTCTGGTCTATTCCCATCAAAACAGTGAACAAAAACAGTGAAAACTCTTAAGCAGAGATGAAGAAGATTCATTTGGGGACCAACCCACCAATGTTGGTCTTTCCTTATTTAATTCACGTTTTCATGGTTCCACATCGCATTCATTGCCTAGCCAGCAAGGCCTATGCAATTTATGAATTTATACACCATGCTCTAGAGCATTATCATTTGCTAAGGAAAATGGATATCCTTTCCAATCATATTTTAAATTTTCTGTTCAATCGGCCTTTTAAAGAAAGAATAATTCTTGATGTGTGAGGCCTTTATCACCTTGGTCTTTTGGATTTCGCTCTCAAAATTGTTGTTTAACTTATTGAGGATTTACAAAAATGGTCATAAGGATGTTTATTCACAT